CGTCTGTCCTCTGCGGGCATTGCACAACATGGGTGCGCTTACCTACATGCAGGTAATACACTCACTCATGTAAAATAAAAATATAAAATATTTGAAAAAAAAAAGAAATTCAAGGTCATCCTTGACATAAGAAGTTCAAGGCTTGGCTGGGCTACATGAGACCCTGCTTCAAAAGACAAGAATAAAAATTTTTTTGTTGTTGTTTTCTGTTTTTTGTCTTTTTGAGACAGGGTCTTCCTGTAGCCCCAGCTGTCCTGGAACTCAATATAGACCAGGCTGGTCTTGAATTCACAGAGTGCTGGGGTTAAAGGCGTGCACCACCACGCCTGGCTTGAATGAAGGTTTTTAAAAAGATTAAATGCAGGGCTGGAGAGATGGCTCAGTGGTTAAGAGTACTGACTGCTCTTGCAGAGGACCAGGGTTTGATTCCCAGCACCCACATGGTGGCTATGAACCATCCTTAACTCCAGTTCCAGGGAAATCTGAAGCCCTCTTCTGACCTCCGCGGCACTGCATGACATGGGTGCACTCACACACATGCAAGCAATACACTCATACACATAAAGTAAATAAACTTTTCTTCTTTTTTTGGTCTTTTTTGAAACAGGGTTTCCCTGTAGCCCCAGCTGGCCTGGTATTCATTATGTAGACCAGGCTGACCTTGAACTCACAGAGACCCAGTCTCAAAAAGACAAAAGAAAAAGTGCAAACCTACCTGGACTTTGGGGCCTATTCATCCATTACTGGGTCCATATAACAAGCAGTGTCTCCACTGGAGGACTAGTCAGATATCCTGGAGGTAGGAATCACAAGCTAGCCCCCATCACAGGCCAATGGTGACTATAGGCACTCCCCTGATTCAGGCCTCAGCCAGCAAGGAACTCAAGAGACCTACTCTGTCTGCAAGGTCCAGGTGAGTCACTTCTGGACAACCTGGCAATGTGCTGGACTGCAAAGAACCAGCCAGACAGCATACTGGCCTCCAGGGGGGTCATTACCAGTATGGCTGGCATACTGGCAAACACCAGGCCTGTGTCCACGACCCAATACTCTGATTCTGGCAGTGCCAGCTCTTCCAGGTCAAGAACAAGTCGACACTGCATGCTGCACCAAGATGAGGCTAGAGCCCACCCTATCCAGGATGAAGGCCAAATACTCAAATTGTCTCCCCATACTCTGGTTCGAGGAGTTGGGTACTCAACTCAGAGACAGAATGCAGGCTATGCACACTCAATGCCCTGGGTTCAACCACTAGCACTACCAAAAAGAAAAAGAAAAGGAGCTGGTATTATGCTCTGAATTTAAATGTCCCCAGTTCCCTGTTTGAATGTTTGGTCCCTAGCTGGTAGCATTATAGAACCTTCATTGCTGAAGTTAAGGCTGGAAGAGGTGGGATATAGCCAGGATCCCTCAATCACCAAGAACCCTACCCTGCCTTGCCTGACATGATGGACTGGCACTATGGGCCAAAATAAACCTCTCCTTTACCTAGTTTCTATCAGGTCTTTTGTCACAGCAAGGAGTAAAGTAACCAATAAAATGGGTATGGTAGCTGGGCGTGGTGGTGCATGCCTTTAATCTCAGCACTGGGAAGCAGAGGCAGGCGGATCTCCGGGGGAGTTCAAGGTCAGCTTGGTCTACTTAATGAGTTCCAGGATAGCTGGGGGCTACAGGGATACAGGGATACAGGGATAACCTGTCTCAAAAAGACCAAAAACAAACAAACAAAAAAAGGGTATGGTAGTGCACATCTATAATCCAAGCACTTGAAAGGCTGAGGCAGGAAGATTGCTGGGAATCTGAACTCAGCCTGGACTACACAGTGAGCTAGCATGGGCTACAGAAGTGAGACTCTGTCTCAAATAAACAAAAGAAAGTAACAAAGGTGGGGGGGGGACCTATTTACAACCTATCACAGAAGGACTAGACCTTAATTATAGAAAGACTGCACATATATCAATAAAATTTATATAGTTAGCACCAAATAGCAGAAAGGTACAGCTCTAAGAATTATAACAAGACCAGGTGTGGTGGCACACAACTTTCATCCCAGTACTCAGGAGGCAGAGACAGGCAGATCTCACAGAGAACAAGGTCTATCTAGGGAGTTCCTTGGGGGAGACCCTGTCTCAAAAAAGACCAATATATATTTCAAGTTATTTTAACTCAACACAGTTTAGATTTACGGGATAAGACAACAGATAACTTAGTTGGTCATGGTGATGCATGCCTACAGTCCCAGCACTTAGGAGGCAAAGGCAGGTGGATCTCTTGTGAGATCACTAACCATGATCCTGTCCAGCCTCGGGAAAAAAAAAAGCTGGGTACCTATAGAAAATACCTACCAGAGCAGGAAGGATCTCCACTATTCACAAGTGATTAGGAGTCTCTCAACCTAGCTTCCAACATGGAAACAGGGCAACATTGTCCACCTCTACTAAAGATGAGGTCTGAGGGGCTGGAGAGATGGCTCAGCAGTTAAAGAGCACCGACTGCTCTTGCAGAGGACCAGGGTTTGATTCCCAGCACCCACGTGGCAACTACGAACCATCCTTAACTCCAGTTCCAAGGGAACCCAAAGCCCTCGTCTGACCTCCGTGGCACTGCATGACATGGGTGCACTCACATATATGCAGGCAATACATTTACACATAAAATAAAAATAAAATATTAAAAAAAAAAAACATGAGAACTGAGTGAACCTACACACAACCACAGGAGACAGCTTACCAAGATCACTAGCATTGCTTCTCTAGAGGACAATGTGGCAACAGCCACTCAAACTACACACAGTAAGTACACCTCTTGCTCAGGGCTCTGACTTCTAGGAATCTATCTACATATCCATCCAAGCTAAAGAGCCCAAGGACAGTCATGACCACATTTTAACTTGCCAGAATCCCAGAATAGCATGTGTCCCTCAGGAGGGGGGGGGTTGGTAAATGAACTGTGGACAGTCAAACTGGGGACACCACGTGGCCATAAATAACCACCAGAGCCACAAAGACAGCAGCAAACATCGCCAAAGTACACTCCCACAGCCTCAACCTGCTGCCCGACAGACAAAGTGATGGCACAGCATGCATGGCCCAGTTAAGACTGCAGTCTAGCAATGAACAAGTGGTCACTCCAGCAGGGAACCAGGTGTGACTCTTAAGATGAGTGAGACGTTGGTGTGTGACAAGAAACTGAAGTTTCTTGCCTTCTCTGAGATAAGAGGACAGTATGGGTGGTTTGACAGGAACAGTACACATCTGCCAGTAGTAACCCAGAAATTGTGGGAGTGCTGAGGAGAGAGACAGTGGGCATCTATCTGCTCAAGGATGGGAAGATGACCTTTTATTTTTATCACAGTCCCTCCCATAGTACTGGAGGGCTATCTTAGCCAAAGCATTTTTTATTTTGTTTTGCTCCAGTGTGTCTCTCAAACAAAAGTCTCAAGGATACAGGGTAACAATCCCCAGGCTGTGGGATAAAGGAGCCTGGGGAGGGCAAGGACTAGCATTTCTCAGCATTTCCTCTGGACAGAGGAAGCCACAGCCTTGCCAACACTGGAGGAAGTGGCAGATGCCCACAATCAGGTGTGTGGCTCAATTGGATGGGGCAGAACAAGAGGAAACCAGAGGGGGGCAGGCCCCCAAGTCTACAACAGACCCAACTTTTATCTGTTCAGTTCCAGTAGAACCATCAAAGAAACACCTGGGCAGGAGATTGTGGGAGCCTGAAGGGGATCACAGGGTTGAAAGCTAGAGTGTCTACCTCTGGGCAGGTCAAGCTGTATATACTGTCCTGGGTCCCATAAGAGGTACATGGGCTGTGCCAGTGTGGCCCTGCCTAGATGCATCAGAGCATGGGGCTGTGGAGGGGGGAAGCATGGAGAAGGGAGAAGAGGAAGAAAAGGGGGCAGGAAAGGGTGAAGGGGGGAAAGGCAGGCAACAGAAGGACAGACTCTTGGACCCAGAACATAATGTCTCCAGCTGCTCCCAGGTACTCCTGGTCATACTGGATCTAGGCCATGCCCACATGTGACATGTCACAGCCCCCAAGGCCACAGCAAAGCCGGAATAGGGAGGGAAGAGGGAGGAGAGAGGGGGAAGAGGGAGGGAGGCCACCAAAACACAGCTGCCGGCTGGGAACTTCCCTCAGCCAGGGCTGGTCCTGTGGCCCCAGTAAACAGCTTTCAAAACCATTAGTCAGCACTTCGCCTGGCAGACCAGTGCCTTGGTCCCCAGCCTGGGCATCCAAGGCCCCAGGTCCCTGCCACCACTGGGCTGGGAGACCTGGAGGGCAGCATGGAAACTGGCTGGTCGGCTGGCTTGCTTGCTGAGGCCAGCTAAGACTGAGATGGCCTCATCTGGCGGCTGGGTTCAGTTGGTCCAGCCATCTAGAAGGAATCTCTGGCAGCCCCTCCCCCTCCAGGCCTATGACGCATGAGTGGCTAGCCAATGCCAGGCCGCTGGAGCAATATCAACAAACAAACCAGCCAGCACAGACAGGTGGGCCTGCTTGAGACACCAGACTGAGTCAGGGCCACTGGGTCAGACACTAAAGGGAGAAAGGGGTGTCTTATACCAGGGCACAGTGAACCCAAACCATACATTATTAGAGAAATACAGTCCCCAGAGGTCCACCACTGGTGCCCCATTCCTTCCCCATTCAGACTACAGACAAGCCGGGAGGGGGTGGGGGGTGTTCCCCAACACCTAGGGGGAGCCAGGTCAATTCGGCGCCAGAGATGAGGTCTCCAAGACCCTGAGGGGCCTCAGAGTTGGGCAAGCCAGAGACACTACATTCAGAAGCCTAGTTCCTTCCACCCACACCAGACACTAGTTTAGAGCCATCCTACCGCCCTCTGGGGGTTCCAGCACTGGGCCTCCTCCCCGCCTGAGGTTGTGAATGGGTCACCTACAAGGATAACATATCCCCCCACCCCCAACACAGACACACACACACACACACACACACACACACACACAGAGCAGCACCAGCCCTGGCCTTACCTGGAAGTCATACAACGCCACAATGTTTTCATGCTTTAGTTCCTAAGACACAAATTCAAGTTTCTCGTAAGCGGAGGCAAGGGCTGGCCCACTCTCTCCCCCTCCCTCAAGAGGCTGGCTCACCTTGAGGATTTTGATTTCCTTTCCCAGCAGTGTCTGGGACTTGGCGAGGTTCTTCTTATTAATACATTTGACGGCAACCTCCAGGTCGTGCTTCTGAAAACCCAAACGTGGACCTTCAGAGGTGAGAACACCCCTCCCTGTACCCCACCCCATACTGCCTCAGTCAACGAACACACTGATGGCCTAGGTGGCTGACCCTAGGACCATAGGAGTCCCAGAGACAGAGTTCTGGTTTGGGCCTGGGAACTACGTGGCGTGTCAACTAGGTTTCCAAGACTGGGCTGACTTCAGGGCTAGGGCCCCAAGCTGAGAGACCTGGGCTGGGGTCTCCCGTTTCTGAAGCTATAGTAGCAGGTGCGTCTCCCGGGCTGGGGTCTTGATCTGGGTCCCCCAGTGGATTTCTGGGCGTAGGGTGCTGGCTTGCGGTTGTGCGGCTGGTACCCCGAGTGGAGTCCCGGACTACCGGCCCCCCAGAAGCCTCACTCACCTCGCGGTGGCGTCCCTTGAAGACCACCGCGAAGGCGCCATGACCGATCAGGTCCTTGCGGGAGAACTCGAACTTGCCCACGGTCTCGACGCCGCCGCGGCCCGGCTCCATGGCGCGCGCCGGCCGGGGTCGCGGGCCGGGGGGCGGCGCGCCGGAAACCGTAGGGCTCAGGCGCAGGCGCGAGCGACGAAAGGGCCGCGCGCG